CGCACACTTCGACTAGGAGGGAAGCTGATTTCTGATCTTGTCCAAGTCTCCTCAATCCTTCTGAAGGGAGTTGAATCAAGGAATTGTGAATCACACGAGACACTCACTGCCAACTGGAGCCAATAGCCCCGGTTGATGTGACGTTCTGAGCAAATAAAATGGACGCCTTAAGGCTACCACAGTGAAGGAAATGAGATCTTACCTCTTTTTCCAATGTCATTGGCACATGAATTATCTGAACAAGATTAAGAGAGAAATACTATTACCTCTTAGTGATGAAATTTTGTTTCGAATCTGTCTAAGCGAACTAATAAGACACAAATAACAAATAAATCTGAGTTCTAGCCTTTGTAGGTGTAATTAAACAAATACAACAATTGTTCAAACAGTCGACCATGACTTGTCTTGGACGGTAAAAACCCTGAGCTCCTTCTCATTACCTTTTCTTGTTCGCAAAGCCTTGTCTCTATCGGAAGCTGCAATAGATGTTGTTGTTGTCGTTGTAGCGTGCTTCGTTGTTTCTTTCTGCGAGTTGACTGGTTCTCACAAAAGCCAGATCCCTGTTGAATTGACTGGCGATCAGGTCTGTATGATGACTCCCAGCCAGCTCGTGACACCTTTTCTTGATAATGATATTGTTGATGTTGTTTTTGATGATTATAGTTGCGATTATGGTGTTGGAGTTGTGGTTGTGGCCACGGATGAACGACTGTCTGGCACTCTTTGGGTCGTCTTGTCGGGCCGGCTAATGTCTCGAGGCTAGCCAAATTTGACGTCAGTTCGCTAACTTGACTTGCCGACAATAGACCTCCAGACGTCTGCTGCAACGGTTGTCGGGTCGCACTAGTGCCTTTTCGTGTGACCAGCTTAAGAGGAGGCTGAGAGACTTTGTCCCCTACAGAACGTCCAGAGTTAATATTCTTTGGACGGAAGGTCGGCAGACTGAAAGTTTGTTTGTGTAAGGCGGTAGAATGATCGTCTTCGAGGCTCAAAAGACTGGTCGTTTCGCCATCGTGGCGACTTCCTTCGGTTGGCAGGTCAACCGTCGGGGACAACTGGTCCGCCGGCGGAGATTCCGTTGACCAACAGGCGGTTGGCTTGCAGTGTCGCTGCCGAAGGCTGAGGAGGAGGCGGTAAAGACACGCGACCAGACAAATGAATAATAGCGCTCCGCCGAGAGCCAAAAGTATGAAGCCTGATACTCCGAGATCCATAGGGCCTGATGGGTTGTCTGAGATGTAGGAAAGTGGAAAAGCCAATTAACGTTGGAGTATTTTTTATTTGTTGGGAAGACGTTCATTTCGTATGAAAAGCAAGAAGAAGATATTCGTGGGTCGATCTCACTAGAAGAGA